GATTTGAAGCAACATTTTAGCTAAGTAAAACTATCCCACAAGAAAGTACCACATCCTGACCAGCATCTCCAAGGAATAGCCACGCGAACCCTCCATCCTCTCTCTTATACCTCGCGTTCCCATTTCGATCCTTCTATTCGGAAAAATCAATGTACTTGCGAACTAAAGTGGTAAATCATTCCCCCGTCACGCCCCACAAAAAAATACCGGAATATTCGTAGATGCCCGATGGTTACGAGTAAGTCGTTACATTAACTTTCCCCGCTTCCCGAAATTTCATGGAAAACTCAAGCTACTCACGGAACGACCGCGTAAAGCTATCGATTCCACCGCCACACCCCGCATGATACGAAATGAACCGCCTCCGGGGAGCAATTCACCGGAAGAAAGGAAGCGGGCATGAATGCGAAAAGATCAGGAATTCCTCGAGAAATGGAAAACCGTGGCGGAACGACCGTGTGCACCGTGAATCGGACGATAACGTTCGGGACTTGGGCCGCGTCTACGGGAACAGGTAATCGGCCCATGGAGGCACCGATGTATGAAATACACACACATACACGCACACGTATCCCCACACACTGGCATTGTCGAAGGTACCGACTGGTAGTAGGCGGAGTACGGTTATAAATCAACGGGCGCAGTAAATCGTGGCTCATCGACAGGGCGCGGGCAGCCAGCTGCCGGGCGTTCCTTTTTCGGTTGTTCTTCCATTAGGGGGTTAATACAGCGTGATCACCGACGGAGAAATTAAAGTTGCCAGGGACAAATGGCGGTGCCGTGGGAGACGCTCGATTTACTTTAGGTGCTTGCGCACGAACGAACGAGGAAGCGTCTTCGGAATCGAAGACCGCGCCCCGCTGGCTATTTCGCAACAATCGGTGACTATCGTGCGAAAATTACGGCTGAATTTTTGCATACGGTGGAATTCCTCAAATGGATTACTCCGATCGACTGAATTGCGTATGTAATTTATTAGTAACTGGTTAATAGACAGGATAACTTTGGTAACTAGAGGATGTGGTCTAACTACAGGTGGGCAAGATATGGTGAATCGGTTATTTTTGATTTGACGGAAAAGACCACATTGAATTTTCTTAATTTGTGCTGGATTGTAGGAGAAATTCCCAGACTATTGTATTAGACGGACGAATAATTAACCTGTTACTACCTGACGAAATTAGCCTAGAAATTGTAAAAGTACCTGTTCGATTATAAGTACTCATCCAAATACAGGAATAGTAAAAACCAATCAATGTTCTAATACAGCACCTACTAAATTCGGTCCACCCACGCCTAGTTTATAAAAAAACTCGACGAAACTCAAGAATCAACACCTACAGCATCAATTCAGTTATATTCAAATGAAATCTTGTCCTCCACCACACTTATACATTTCTCCTTTTTCCTGTACCTTGTTAATTCCATTTTGGAGCTGTGAATCAACGCGTAAAAGGTCTGTCATTCACACATCTTCGGATACAACTGTATTCCCCGTAAAGTGATCCACTAGATTGCTAAGTAGATCCACGCAAAGAATCTGGGAACCAACCTTATTCGCGAACGATTATCGAATTCCTACGCCGTGTATCGAAATCGAGTTACAAGTGGATTTTGATAGTGTGAAGTTTTAATAGATCGAAGGAAGGTCCGGGGCGGCGACGCGCTTCATGGTTGCCGTTCGTGGTCGACATCCTGACCACCGGTAAATTCGCGTAGCCGCAGAGTGGGTCCTCCATTAACGCGAACTCGAGGGGGTTCGGCTCGATCACGAGCGGTCAAAGGCGGAAAAGTTCAAGTCCCCGCGACAAATGGCATTTCGACGCGTCCCCTCTGTTCCTCGATAAACGTATATAAAGGGTGTCAAAGAAACATGTGACCAAACTTTGATAGCATATTCTACTATTCCTAAGGATGAAACACTGTCGTATAAACATAGGTCCAAAAATTCTTCCTTTTCGAGATATAGACATTTTCTGATGACGATGGAGTTACTTAAATGTATTGAAAATGATTTCCTTCTGCAAAAATACATGCTTCGCATTGACGTCGAGCCTTTCTAGGTAGGCTCCTCGTCATCGACAAGGAAAGAACCCGAGGTATAACGCTGGCTTTTTGATGAGATTTAGCATATTGCTAGAGCTTGGAATTCTGCAACCAATGATATTTGTTTTAACATATGGCTATTAGTTTCTGAAATATTTAATGTTCAGTGCCGGAGAGTCTTCGCACACTCATCGAGGATTTACTGTATCTACCCCTTCTGATATTAAAATAAACCCTACTGATAGCACTGTCTTCACTACGAACCGTTTAGATACAATACATACCGATTTAAGATGAAACACACTGCCATCAAGGTAAATATTCGTTGCTGTAGCATATTATTTGCTTCTAGCAAACGAAATGACAACAGTGCTTGAAATCGTACACCTTAAATTTTCAATGTAAGCTAAAAAGTGTCTATATCTTGGAATGGAAAAGTTTTCGGGCCTATGGTTACATGACACTTTTTCAGGAACAGTAGAATACGGTACCAAAGTTTGACCACGTATTTCCTTGACACCCTATACATATATATATACCTGTATGTATATACACGAGCAGCCATACACACCCCCACACTCACGTGACCGACCTCTACATCGGTGTTACGGAAGCACCGAACCTAACGCAATTTGTACGCGGTGTTTTAATCGAATCCGAACGACACCGAGCCCGCGAATCCGATTTCATGGAACGCGGATGGCCCGCCTTTACACGGCCCCGGCTCGATTAAAACGATTAAACGGTGGATGGGAATCGAATTCGCGGCGCGCTGACTAAATACTGACAAAATATCCGGGCCGCAAGGAGGATTTCCCGAGTGGCCGAGCTGTTCTTCGAAAGCCTCTCGACGTTCCCATTATCCCTGGGTTCGGATTAATCAAGCCACACCGTTTATGGTTTGTAATTAATGATCCACGCGATAACACCGGGCGAGCCGACGGCGATAGGTAATTTAAATGATTTAATTAAACCCGAGTCGATCGAAGGTGACAGATAACTTTAATTAATCGCTTACCTCTGTAGCACTCTGCGAGTTTATCGGTCCAATTTTTGGAACGGTTCGGAATCGATGATTGTAACGTTTACGCGAAAGGTTGCGGGGAATTGTATGATTCGAGTTCACGGAAATTAAGTTAGTTAATGTTTAACTACAAACTTTTAACCCTACGTCAGTACCTTGGGCTATTTAAGCACACCTAGTACCTTGCGATATTCCAATATCCCATATTTAAAATGTATGTTTAAAAGAAGTGATCAATTCTTTATATTCATATATTACTTCAAAATATTCCCATTTTCATTCTCGAACATATTAAGTCAAATTTGGCGGAAATTTTTTATCGTGCTACTAGAGATCCTCTGTAAATAGAGTTGATGGTGTATGAATTATTCCAAAATTAATTTTAATTGAGTGTTCAAACAGATTCATTTAATCTCCATAATAAAGTTTTGCATCGCAGAGGTGCCGTTCTCAGTTAACCCTTTGGGCTCGAAGGATCTCTAGAATGTTGAAAATGCGGGGAACCACCCAGTCCGAAAGTTCGACGAAGGATCCTCGGGCCATCTTCAGCGAACCCCGACTCTCTTAGCAAATTTCGACCGTCGCGTCGTGTCAGACGCTCCACCCGCCTCACCCCCACCCTATTATCTTTTCGACAACTTCTATCCCCTTGGCCATCTTCGATCACGTTCTCCGACGTCTACTGATTACCCAACTCTGGCAATACCTTATGGGGTCCCTTCTTGGGCCCTCTAAATTCCCTTGGTAAACTCGTCCACAGACTCCTAGGATTCCTCGAAGATTACCTTGCGAGGCGTGAAAAGTCTCTTGGAAGGCTCATTCAAAGTTCTATCTAATCTTGTAAAAAAAGGCATCTTTGAGCCCATCTAAGGACCCTGAAAATTTCTGAGAGACTTCAGAACTCACTTGGGTACATTTCTTAGTTTCTCAATCCTATTACATGGCTTTTCCAAAAACTTCTATAATATCCTTTGGAGGGCACTTTCTGGGACCCAGGGAATCCTTTGGAAAAGTTTTTTATAGGACCCCGATGTCTTGCGATAGTCTTTGCCAAAGGCTTCTAACATCCCTTGGAAGGTACATTTAGGAGCTTCTAGGTCTGCTTGAAGAGTTGTACCAAGGACTCATGGGATTCCCTGGAAAGGCTCCTCAAAGGACGCTTAATAGTCCCTTGATGGAACCGCTACACCTACTGATGTCTCTTAAAGGCTACAAATGCCCAGTCAAGCGTCGTATAACACTCCTTACACTCGGAATCCCTCATCCTCCGTGTAACGTAACCGTAATCAAAGCAACTGACATAAAGTGCTCGCAACAATGCTACTTATACCACATAATATGCATAACAATAGCGTATAAAGGGGGAAACGGACGTAGGTCCCCCTTTGGTATAGTTACATATCTAATTATACGTATTAAAATTAGAACTTTGATAAAACGATAATCAAGACCGTTCATGGGTGATGTTCGTGTGATTTCAGGTATAGAGAGAGCGCACAAGGAGGGTAGATTAGCGAGCCTGATAGGGGTCGAGGGTGGCCACGCAGTCGGAGCGAGCCTGGCAGTTCTGAGGATGTTGTACGAGTTGGGGGCCAGATATCTCACCCTCACGCACACGTGTAATACGCCTTGGTGAGTTTGCCAATTGAGATATTAACTAATTATAACACCGTGTTTGCCAACGAGATTCACATAGCAATTAGAGTCGTGAAATTCACGTATCAGACGAACCTTCCGTAAATATTACTTCGTTGTAGCGTTTTTATACACGCGTCAATCGTGCTGTGTCTCTCGTCTCTGTAGTTTAACACGGAAAATATTCATGTAACGTTACACGTTGTTTGTGTAAAATACCAGGAGATAACAAAGAGACAAACAACGAAGGTGTTACTGAAACCGGTGAAATAGAGACGTGCCAGATAGTCGGTGTACTGCATACTCTGAATACGAGCTGCAGCTTTATCGTCGTACAGTAAAAATGTACTACAAATGATGTAATAAAAGAGCAGCGCGCGAGATACGGGGTCTCGAAACTTTCGCGAGCAGCGTTTCTACTCCGTGCCTCCGTTGACTAACCGTGTACCTGTATAACAACCGAATAAAAATCAAACTTTCGAATCGCCGAATTATCGTTCCTTGAGATATTCGAATTTCCCCGATACGCATGAATGGAACCTTCGACATAAAGTTGCTCTCGACTTCTAAATTGTTAACAAGTTCCAAGGTTCCGTATAGGAAATACCTACATTCGAGACGCAATATACCCTCACGAGCAAACTCTGCTTCCGCCATGGGAAAAAGGAACGTAGGGTAAGGGTTTCTTACTACTTGATCGTAGAAGTTACGGAGAAGGACAAATTAACATTCGGTTTAACATTTATTTCAGTTCTTGAAATCAATTTACCAAGCGGTAAGGTGCGTGTCTATTTGTTGCGTAACAATTTGTTGTGTATCCATTTGTTGCGTATCACCACACGATACATTTTCATACGAAACGATGCAACGCTTGCCTGTCCACATTGATACACAACGGCGATACGACACGAGGATACGCAACAAGTGGACACGCACCTGAAGGAGGCCCTTCACCTACGTCGCTTTTTCCTCTAGCACAAACCAAGTTTGCTCGTGGGTGTAGCAGCTTCTTTAAGCCCAGAGAAATCTGTAGCTCGACAAATTTGAAAAGATCCTCGCGAATCAAGGATGACGGATCATGCTCACTCAAACTTCATCAAAGCCATACAACACGCGATATCACAAAAACTTTTTCGGACGTTTTTGAATATAGAATGTGAAGTTGCGTCTGGGGGGATGAACGGGCCTGGAATGTTTTTAAGGAAATCGCCTAGAAAACTCGTCGTTTCCACGCGTTCTGTTGCCCCAGCCCGTTCCCCAGGGGATCTTTCCAGGTGTATCGAGATATACGTTACCCGAGGTGGATGACTGACGATATTTTCCACGATAGAATTTCCCCGATAATGCACTCGTGCAGTCAGGACACGACTGTTTGAGTTTGAAGTTCGAGAGAGCTACGGAATTACATAAAGTCGCGACGACCACCCAGCTGGCGGTGGCGTGCTAAGGCGTCGACAGAAATATTATTCTAGGACAAACAATGGGACGAATTCCCTGTTACGAGGCAGCACCGAGGGCAACTAGGTGACTGACTGACGCGGTGAAAAGGGCGGAGAGAACAATAAAAAAAACTGTCGAGGAACGAAGCTGACGCGACCCTCGCGATGGACGCACGTCCCCGCGGATTATAGTCCGAGTTTATTTTATGGCTGGATGCACGGGGTGTTAAATTGAACTTGTTACACCGGGCTGGTGTATGTTTTAAACTGCAACCGGGAGGAAACTTGTAGGTACCCTTTTCATACGTGTCTTTTTTTCGTTATTGCATGCCATCGTGATTTCTAAAAGGGATAGAGGGAGGTATCATGAAAGAGCAATCCTCAACCGTTGAAATGTAACGTCACGTTCAATAGTTTTTATGTCTGTGCATTTGATACATGCAGTCTATAAACTGTAGAGTATGAAGACGCTTGAGGAGCAGAATACATTTCGGTGCAATATCAGTGTTTTTTATGGTGGACTAATTTAGTTTTGTAGAGTCGTTTAGGGTACTCTTTGAGTTGTAATGTAGAAGATCTCAACTGATGAGAGCAGTCTTGTTACTATTATACAGCGTGGGGTAGGACGGATGGTACAACCGGACAGGTCATTCTATATGAAAAAATAAGGCGAAAGTATGGAATAAAAGTATTTGGTATGATGCTTCGTTTTTGAAGTAATTGCCTTAGAAAATTCATCTAAAATGTATGTATTCGTGCTGGAAATAAGTAGAAACGGAATGTAATGAACAGACGTATAGGTCAAGAATCTGGTTACCTAAAAAACGAAGCATACACGAAAAATTTTATTCCACATTTTCCACATATTTTTGCATATTTTGCAATACTCTCTATCCCACCCGCTATTAGCAAGAATTTTAATCAAATTGTCGGAGTATCAGATAACATAGGTGGTCTTCTGTCTATGTAATTGCTAACAGAATTTTTCTTTCTAATCCAAGTTATTTAATAGTTTCATCAATTTTTAAAAATCGTCTAACATAATGTCAATAAATGATCCAAATGAATTTATTCCAAATATTACTGAAAATAATAAAAAGTAAATTCATAAATAAAGTACTACCATTTTCAATATTTCTAAGTTTTGCTGTTTATATTATTTCACCAGGTCGATGATGGAATCGCGGTTTTCAAAAGAGACATTATCTTATTACTAGACCACGAATGTTCAAGGAAATATTTATTTATTTCAAGCAGTTTACAAGCACGCGAATCAACAGTAATTTCTTTACGCTATCAGAAGTTACATCCAACATAACAGAAAACTCTTGACATTTTATTTAATACTTTCGTGTACAAAAGTTCAGACCATTCCATATTTCACAAATGCATAAAATCCGCAGTCTACATATTCAATTACACATTCCGATTGAACTGTCCGGAATACACAGCCATAAACAACCTGGCCGCCGATTCCAACAAACAACGGTAACGCTCGCAATAAAGCGGAACTAGTAATTCGGTCTTAGCAACGGGCAGTTAAAGTCGAAACCCGACCGATGATCGACCATTCCATCTTCGACCGTGAAATTTATACCGGACGTCCCTTATATTTATTCGCGGCATCGCGTAGCCGGCCGAACGATAAATCATCGGTCGGATTAATGGAACCGTAACAATATTATCTGCGTTTCGGTATTTCCGGGACCGACCGCGCGGTTTTACGACTCCGATAGATTCCGCGGATACGCTGATAAATATCTATGCGGAGGCGCGTTTCGATCGTATTCCGAACCGTCGACCGTCGGTTCCATTGGTTTCGTGACAATAAAAGAGCTCGACCACCTAACCTGTCTAAATTTGTCGAATTTCGTCGAGCTCGTTCAACTTTGCGTCTAAATTAGTGCTGGATTCTCACAGAAACTGTTTCAAACATGTTTGATATAACAAGGGAAGGCACGGCAGTGTCCCCCTCGGATTTTGCTGAAACTTCCTATATCTGTTAAGCAGTCAAAAATAAAGAATAGATATTTTTTTTATCGACTGAGACGAGATTTTAAGGGGTGAAACCACCCCTCGAAGTTTCGATCCGAAATTTTTTTGTTATAAACAAATTATACATTGGACAATTTGTTAGCACTATATTATTCTACATACAAAACCGCAAACCTCGTCCATTTTAAGTTTTCATGTATCTTCTCTGGTTTTCGAGATAGTAGTTTCGGGTCGTAACTTCGAAGGGTCGTTTCACCCCTTAAAATCGCGTCTGAGTCGATAAAAAAAAATACGTATCCCTTATTTTTTACTGCTTAACAGACATACGAAGTTCCATCAAAATCGGAGGAGGACACTTCCGTGTCTTCATAGGTTAAAACTCAGCTTAAATAGGTTTAAACAGTTTGTAGACCCATCACTAGTCAATCTTGTCACACCTGTAAGTTTACGCGAAATAAATCCAAAGACCTCAATTGCACCAAGAACAATTACTCAGGGACACTTCCGTGTCTTCATAGGTTAAAACGTCAAAAAAAAAATCAGCTTAAATAGGTTGAAACAGTTTGCAGACCCATCACTAGTCAGTCTAGTCACACCTGTAAGTTTACGCGAAATAAATCCAAAGACCTCAATTGCACCAAGAACAATTACTCGGCACATCTAACCACAGACTATTGTATGCGTAATAACAATTTCAGAGATATCAAGCTTTCGCGACCCGGCATCGTACAGTTCTCACTGTTGAGGCTTTCGGATGTAAGCCCTCCCCTTACAGAATTAATTTCCCTGGGAATTAATTGCACAAGGACGTGGTTTACACCCGAAAAGCCTCAACGATAAAACAGTTCTTACAGTTGCAATGCATCAAACTGCAACAGATTACATTGCAATTTATGGCATTATATTCCAATATTAGAAGAAAGTACACGAGAAAGGTTTGAGCCGGTTGATTACCAACCACTAAGCTAGACAATCGATCATCGCGCGTGTCGGGGCTGCTAGGCGACGTATCATCGTTCTGTTTGCCAGCTTAGAGCGTATCGCGCTAATACGGACTATTATCACCCTGGAATTGCTCGGACTCCTCGAAACCCCGTTTGTACTTCGTGTCTCTCGCTCTAATCCTATCAAAGCAGAGTAACGCTCGCCGAATCGGCGCCGGTGACGCTATCGTTGCCGGTTGATTCGTCAAGATAACGGTAACCGACCCGGTGACACGTCATTTTTAATAATTAATCTTCAAAGCCCTGTCAGTACCAGACAAAATCGGTCATGTCATATTGCATCCCATTGTGCGTCGATTGGCTCGGCTTACAGAGAGATGGTCACAGATGGAACATCGAGAATTTCGGTGTATTGTATTTGAGTATGGCACGTTAAAGTTCCATTCACTGTTTCAGCTTGAGTTTATTTAGTTTACATGCACCTGCTCGTCCGTATGTCGACTCGATACGGTAGTATGTCAGTAATTTTCGTTTATTCCGGAGTCACGTCGAGATGGTCTGGACATAGAGTACTCGCTCTTAATTCCGCCACTGCGGCTTAAATAATTCGGAGTGACTTGTATGGCTTCGTTGCTTGTTGTAATGTTGCCTTAGAACTTGTACGGACAATGGTTCGTTGACATTGTAACAGTCCATTGTTACATGTTGAGTTATACTCTGCTTTATTCGATATTTCAAAATTTAGGAGAATATTCTATGTCTCAAAATCAACAAAGAAAGTTTTATGATTTTCAGAATAATAATGACAATACCATGTTTCTACAGATATAATTTTGAATTATTTATATACTGCAATAGCAGATACAAAAAGTGTTATATTTTTGTTAGTATTTTTATTAAATTGAGTATGAACATTATGTCACGAAAGTGAACGTCATATATGTCTGTACACCGAAATTTAATCATATTCTTTGTTGGAAAGTTTTTATCTTATCTTGAGACAATATCGATTCTGTGGTCTGTAACATACATCCAATCCTGACAGTATACGGATCCGAACGTATTTTACAAACGAAGACCACATAGGGAAAACATGATAAGTCCATTTCTGTAGATTTTTCGATTTTTATGTCAACTAGTACCTAAAAGGGAGTACATCCGTCCTAAACTGTCAGGTCCGAAGATATAAATAGCCTTTCAAAAATAGAAGAACAGGAAAATAACACATGCGTTTTGAATTTAAAAATTGTTCTGTTAAAAATAAAGAATATGGCTTATCATGTTTTCTGCTTATGGTATTTAAGCACAAAAGTCTACAAAAAATATTAGACCCACAATTTGATCATATTCTTCGTCTGAACTTTATTATTGTATCTCGAGACAATATCGAAACTCTTCTCTCGATCGACATATCCAAGACTGACGTTATATGAATTCGAGAACACCAATGCTCCGCATAAAAAAAAGCTTGAAAAAATTTAGAACCGACAATTTGTACGGTATTTGTTAACAGTTTGCAACCGACGATCTGGCACGCCTTTGATTACCACATTCCAAGGAATTAATGTTTCAAATCAAGGCGTTTGTACATACACGACGATCCAGGGAACAATTCCATCCGCGTTGCTTAGTATTGCGAACATGGAACTCTATGATTAAAGGGCATTGTAGGACGGTAACACTGAGGATTGTTGCCATTGAGTTACTGACCTATTGGTTCGTTAGGGCAGAATGCAGCACAGTGGATGAACCCGGTCAAGTGGCTCGCATCGGTGGTCTCTCGAATTTTGGCAAGGTGAGTACAAGAAATAACGATAACTTGTTCTTTCAACCTAGACATCCAACGTACACCATACACAATCCTCCAACAATATTCATTAACGATTGGATACACGTCAATTCTCGCGCAACTAACGATTCTAGAAATCACTTAAAGATGTCGTACGAGTTCCCTCGAGAAAATAAATAATTGCTGACGCAAATTAAATTTATATCAACTTTTATTCAATTTATAATATTTTTTGAAGTAATAATAGGAACTATCGTACCTCTTCTTATGTACTTTGAGGCATGGTTTCACCCCTTAAATATGAGAACAGGCTAACATAAAAAAAACCGGATTTGTTATTTTTTGGTTCTCTAAAACATATCCGAAAGACAAAGTAATCGGAGGTGGAGACCTAAGTACCCCTACTTGGCAGTATAATCAGTATACCCGGATATACGTACTCATATGAGTGCAACAATTCAGGGGTAGTTTTACCAGACTTTTTTTGGACCTCTAAGTATCTCAAAAGCATATTCATCAACTTACACCACTAATGCTTTAAATGACTCGACTAATGAAACGTTTGTGCTATTTTAATTCTAGTGTACCAGTGGAAATAAATTTCGCTTTGCTCCTGGATTCTATAAAATAACTCCTAAAAATAGGAATTGATGTAAACATTCGTATCCGTAAAACGTGAATATCACTTTACTGGAATGTTAATAATCATTAATCTTTAGGTTGCCAGGAGTACGCCTTCTGGAACATTGACAAAACTCGAAATCATAATCACACATACATAAATTTTTCGCCGGATAAAACCACCCTTTTTATGAAAAATGTCGACAGTCTAAAAGGTTAAACACAACGTAGATCAGATCCAGCAGCGGTGGACCAAGTGGTCGCAATAATCGTTGGTAAACCGTTTTCCAATAAGTTAAATTGCACCCTCCTAATGAACGCGATACAAAGAAGTGGCTGTCTCGGAAATTCAGCATCCTTCTTTCGAGCCGGTAATCTTCAACGCTTCGAAAGTAATTGACACGAATTACCTCGCGCGAAAGAACAACCGAGCCAGCCAAGGGGAGGTGCTAGGTCTGGGGTTAGGTTAGCACGGTTTTTGCACCGACAGAGAAAGACACGTTCCTACCCACGGAGGGTTTTCCCGAACGACGGGTGGTACCAGAGATGAGATATAGAATAGACCTTAGATCTTATGGGACTTCGTGTCACCTATTCTGAAATACCGATAGTGCAGAAAATGATTTTCTGCTGCCCTCTACGTTATAAGAGCGGTGAATTTGGGAGTTACATTCAATTCAATTCGAACTCAGCTAGCTAAACTTTTGCAATATTGCAAAGTAAATAAAAAGTACGCAACGTTGTCGGAGCAAGAGTGTTCGATATAATATATTATTATATATATATTCTACAGTAGAACTGTCTATTACACAATGGATTAAAACGTCCCCAGCTGTCCATCCTCGTCGGTCACGTCGTGAAATGACCGTTCTCCCATCCCGTTAGATAGTCTTCGTTACGGGGGAGGGGTGTGATAATAAATCGACCGCGCCTTTTAACCCTCGCCGGATCGATCGGCCATAAATATCGGAAGTTCGGCGGGAATTTTAGAGAAAGATAGATTCGAGGGAGCTGCCTCGGAGAGAATGGTCTCGTCGGAGCCAAATGTTATGTATCCATTACGTGGAAGAGGTGGTCTCTCTCTCTCTCTCTGGAGTTCCATGGAAAAGGAATTCCTTTTAGTAGCGGGTGGGAACCTCGAACGAGTTTAAACCGTGTGTGGACTCGTTACAGACGTATTTGCAGAACCTTCTTAATGAATTACAGGAGTTCTGTAAATGGTGGGTCGAGGTTGTACCGACTAACACCTGGAAATTGGACGACGCCTCGGTGTCGTTGAAAGCGACGAAATGGAGGGAACGTGTTTTCGAGTTTCACGGGTCTTGTCGGCGGGGATGTCGAATCGATGGGATTAGCGGTCGTTTTCGAACTCTTTTCAAATATCCTGGAAATATACAGGGTGTTAAAAATAGGGGTGTACGATTTTAGGGTCTTATACTATCTACTGATCGAGTGGAGTGAAAAATATCTAATCTATATAGGTTATAAAATGAATCATCAAGGTATCAGCAACGGTTTCGAAGATGTTCGAGGGTATCGGTTTAAATGACTCACATTCAGTAACAGAAATGACAAACGTCTATTTTTATACGGATATATGGATTGAAACCTTGACCTACGAAACGTATTTTGTATCGAGAAACACTCAAGACAGCCTACATTAATCGACAAACCTTAGTGTTTAGTCATAGGTGTCAATTACATTTCATGACATTAAATAAAACCACGTATCCAAATACGTATGTATTGTACGTTAAAAATACGATAAAATCGTCGTGCACACGAGCACGATTACGAAACGGAAATTCAAACGCGAGTTATTTATGAAAATTACCCGTCGCTATTCAGGGTATTCCCGTCGAAGTATTCATGAATTCCCCGGGCCGACGTTGCACCTATGCGAAAGAAAATTATGGGCCGCATCGATCAGCCCGAGGAACAATCGTTCGCGTTTTAAACGCGCATACTTCGAATGATATAGGTGCCATTGCGAAGCGTGACTCGAAGGAGCCCGGCACGAACACGGCCTAAATATCGTTCTAGCGAGAGAGGAACCGTTCTCTCCATCCAGTTTTTATTTTTCAATCAAGAGCCGGGTGGTTGATTGATGGGACAGGAAACGTAGGAAGCAATTTTTTTACTCTGTGTAAGACATACAGCACGATATTCTCGAAAAATGAAAGAGGACGTCCCAGAGGCGTCGTCCTCCCATGTTCGAAAGTGCATGATAAATAATTTCCAGAGTGCCGCTGCGACACGCCCACTGAAATATAAGCGTGGATATGTAACTCCTTTCGTATTCGTGGGAGGTCGTGGACACTTTTTTAAAGTGAAAGTTTTTAGTCGAGCAGATGCTCGCGCTGAGGTATTTCTTCAATCTTGGGAAAACGTGGAGGCGGCGTGACGTCGAGTTTAGACTGCACCGAGGCAAAAAGGCTCTACGATCTTACTTCCGAGGTTATTCGTAAAGATGATGACTGGCGTTGAAGTAGCAGAATTTATTCTCGTGTTTCTCGAAACTTTTTCGTACGCTTTGTTACAACGGGGAAGATTCGTGGAAATTATGGGGACTTAATTGGAACGTCGAAATCAGGATTCTTTTTGGTAAATTCGTCAAACTTGTAGCAATATGCGTTTTATAGAAGACACTTTGTATAGGTCCGTACAACCGACATAGGTTTAATTCTTCTAGGAACGATAAATCGAAAGTCAGGGATAATAATTTCGCAAATAATAATTCTACTTTTAAAAGGAATGATTTTGTAAATTTAGCGGGTACGCATGGCACTGAATAGAACTGGGATAATGTGTCTGGTCATTACTTGCTGTTTCTACTTACTGTAAGGAGAAGCTAATCCTATTGTATATACATATGTGGTTCTTACTCAAGATTTTATAACCTCGATAAGAAGCAATAAAGTAATTTCTCCATATAATCGTTCAGTAAATTCTCATTCACATAAGAAAATTTGGAATAGTAGAATTACGTTTCACATACTAAATTCCAGGAATTACTTTGAATTAAGATTATAGTCTCCTCAGAAGTATCTAGTTCTTTTCGCTTGTAAAAACTTGTTTCAAATCACCTCTCGAGTTTCCCATTTTTGTTACACCCTGTGTATACATCCGTATCGACTCAGTACCAGGCCGCTTAAACACATCATCGACAGAGACACTAATCTCAAAGCGATTAAGAGGCCGAGTAGCGATCAGAGTTCACCGTAACCGTTACTTTTCTCGAGTGTACGTACCCCGAGCAAAAGTTACGTGTGCACCGCGGCGTGTTCTATTTACCGAGCGTCAGAAAAACGCCAGACTGCCCCTAGGGGGTGTTTTCCAACGGGAACGGGAGATATATGAGAAACGACTTCGGGACCGGTGGTCGCGATATAAACCAGAAGCATGCCCCGCGGGCAAGAACCGATGAACCGGGCGGGGGGGAGGGGAGGGGTAAAATATCGTCGCCGTCTGTAACTGTGGTCGATGTCTCCAGCGTTTAAATCGAGTCTCATTGTAAATCCAATTATTTTCCATCGAACGACACAAGTTTCATTCCTCTTCTATACGGGGAAAAGGACCTACGAGATATCGCGTTTTCCACGATGGAAACGTTCATAAGTTACAACCGCGAGAAAATGTACCGTGTCAAGTAGTTATACGCAATTTCTTTGTACGTAACCTCTGGGACGAGAAGCCCAGAGACACGTTCCTCGGGGCTGTTTTTACGAACGTGGAGGAATAAAGGGTGGGAAAAAGAAGAAACGTATGAGAAACGACTCGGAGACCGCGCGGTTCGCCCAGCTCGATTCACACGGAAAACTTCCGTCCTCGAGATGAAGTGGTGGGGAAGATAAGGGAGAAGACGGTCGTTTAAATATTCAATGAAGATTCTCCCCGCGATCGCTTTAGCTTCGTTAGAACCCACTGGCGTTTGAGCATTTGTTTCACTTTATGCAGCCGAATGTGCACTTGTTCCTGAATGCGAATGACTGACGAAAGTTTTGTCCTTCGTTGTATTTCACAGAGACCTATAGTGTTCTAGTACTTGTGAACGAGGGTATAGCCTGCACTCGTCGCCTGTTCACGGATAATGGCGACGACGAGTCCGTTTTAACACTAGAATTACCAAAGACTGGTAAATACACTGTTATAACGATGATTAAAATGTTATAACAATTCTCGTAGATGTTTTACAACTTCTATTGCGATATAGAAGTGAATGTATGCTTAAACAAAAGCTTATTTAATGTTTTGACTGTACGTCACCGAAATATAGGTGACACGTACATTGTAAAGCGGCTGGATTATTTAAATACCTTTACAAAATTTTTACGTACAGTTAATATCGCAGTATAATTTAAAGCAAGGCTAACTGGTCTTATTAA